TGCGAGTTGGTCGCCTTGCCGCCCAGATCGCCCGTGAGCGTCTCGCCCTTGGCAATCGTCGAGAGCACCGCATTCTCAATCTGGTCGGCCTTACCCGTGAGCCCCATGTGCCGCAGCATCATGACCGACGAGAGGAGCAGCGCCGTCGGGTTGGCGAGGTCCTTGCCAGCGATATCGGGCGCCGTGCCGTGCACCGACTCGAAGATCGACGCGTGCTGGCCAATGTTGCCCGAGGGCGTCAGACCGAGCCCGCCAATCAGACCGGCGCCGAGGTCCGAGAGAATATCGCCGTAGAGGTTGGGCATGACCATGACGCGGTCCGAGTAGGCAGTCGGGTTCTGGACAATGTGCAAGCACGCGCGGTCGAGCAGCTGCTCGTCAAAGTGAATGTCCGGGTACTCCTTGGCGACTTCGCGGCACGTCTCGAGGAACATGCCGTCCGACAGCCGCATAATGTTGGCCTTGTGCACGGCAGTGACAATCTTGCGGCCCGACGACTGCGCGTACTCAAACGCAAACCGGGCCACACGCTCCGAGGCCTCGTGCGTAATCAGCTTGATCGACTGGACGACGCCAGGCACAACCTCGTGCTCGATACCCGAGTACTCGCCCTCGGTGTTCTCGCGAATCAAAACCGAGTTGACATTGTCGTAGGGCGTCTTGAACCCTTCAATCGACCGGCACGGACGCAGGTTCGCGTAGAGGTCAAACGTACGGCGCAGCGTCAGGTTGAGCGAGACGTGGCCCTTGCCAATGGGCGTCGCCAGCGGGCCCTTGAGAGCAATCTTGTTCTTCTTGATCGACAGAATCGCGTCCTCGGGGATCGTCGTCTTGCCCTTGACGAGAATCGGGGCGACCGAGACCTCCTCCCACTGGATCGGCACGTCCGCCGCGGCAAAGATCTTCTTGACTGACTCGGAAATCTCGGGGCCAATGCCGTCACCCGGGATCAGCGTGACCGTGTGCATTTCCTGTGTTGGCACCAAGCTTGCGAGTGAGCGACAAGCACTGACCGTCTCCACAAGTTCGCGACAGGCCAAGCGTACCGACGCGACCGACGCAAGCGAGCGCTTGGCGGCCTAGATAGCAGCGGAATCAAGTATGTCGAACATGATGAGCTCGCGAGTTCGATATTTTGCTGGAAAAATAAACAGGCTCGCGCTTGGCTCGGAAGGGACAACGACAGCGCGTGATCGCTACCTGAGTGGCGGCAACGCGGGCCAGCGACGAGGACATGGAGGACAGCATGTTTGCAGCTAGTGGTGGCAGGTAACGGCGGAGAGCTGGTCGGCGTTGCTGGAGCACACGGCAGCGAGGACGAAGTCGGTGATCGGTAGGTGGTGTGGTCGCTGTTGGTGTGCTGCAAACGAGACGTTTTGCCAGATCACGGCTTGCCCCGCGGGGTTGCACGCCCAAACCGGCCACGCCCGCTTCCACGTGAGCCTCCTCTCTTGGAGGGGACTGCTTCCCGCCGCCACAGATAATCGTCTTCGACTATGATTACAGGTAATAAATCCGCTTTCTCTGCCGACCAGCAACCCGTCCTTGGCGCGCTGGCGTGAGTTGCACGAGGGAAGCGCGAGACAAACTCTGGTTCGCCAGTCGTGTGCCACAAAAAATCGCGCGTGTTGTGGCCGTCGCGAACCGGCTTGCTCGAGGGGCATTGAGAAGCACCACCGTGAGCGCCCCGGCACAGCAGCAGCACCGCGCGCGACTTGCTGCAAGCCTTCTCCACCCGACCGCTCCATGCTCGGCGGCCGCCCATCCTTGTTTGCCCGCCTTCGCGTCCACTTTCCCGGCTTCAGCACGCAACCCAAGTCGACGAACGCAACACCAAGCACGGCAACCTGCACGCCCGCATCGACTGTGACCTCGACCACAGCCACGTCCCCCCCTTCACCAACGACCAAGCCCGCAACCATGGCCGACTCCGCAGTCCCTGCCGACGCGCCGCTGTGCCTCGCGTGTCACAAGCAGCCCATCGAGTACGGCGGGTCTGTGTGCCAGTGCCCGTCGCTGTGCAAGAAATGTGCGATGCGCCAGGCGACGGGCGGCAAGTGTAAAAAGTGCGGCATGCTTTTTGGCGACTTGAAGCGCGTCGATCCGACATCAGCCGGTGGGAAAAAAGGCCAAGAGGACGACGAGGAGGACGGGGATGACGACGAGGATGACGAGTAGAAGCGCGTGCCGCGAGAACTTTGGCACGAGTTTTTGTGGCCGCGAGTTTTATGGCCGAGGATGCGGCCGGTAGGCGACAGTGCAAGCGTTTGCGCGCCGCGTGTGGCGCCGAAAGAGCCGGAAGTGGAGATCCACGAGGTGGGCAAGATAGAACCCGTTGCTGTCGTCTTGAAACACTTTTGCAGCGGCGTGGGGTGTGTTGTCAGGGCTTGGAGTCTTGTGGAGCACGGCCAGGCACGGCGGGCACTACAGTCACCCACCTTTATACGCGGTCACGGTCACGTTGGAATGAGATTTGGCTCCAAAATGCAAGTCAGATCACCCTGCAGGTTGCAACCAGTCAACTCGCATGGCGTCGACCTCGTCGTCGACGTCGCCGACCAAACCGAACCCTGGACAGCCCGCATATCCTCCCAACTCGCTGCAGATCGTTTGCGACGACCTGAGCACGTCGCCAGACGCCTCCAAGCTCGATTCCGTGCCCAGCAACCGAAGCCGACTTCAACCAGTGCGCCCCGGCCGTCCCCCACACAAGCACGCCTAGCTCAACCGCCCTCGACGTTTGCGGCCCGAACCATGACCTCCAATATCCCGTGGGGGTCCGCGGACAAGGTTGGTTCCGTCAACTTCACTCAACGCCCCGTCAACCCTTCGTCTCTGACGCCCAACGCTGCCGAGACTTAGACGGACCCAATGACGGCGTTTACGACAACGGCGCAGGCGAGTTTTGTCAACCATACGGTCCGCACGACTTTTTCGGCGCGTCACTGTCGCGCACGTTCACTGACGCTGCCAAATTCCGCACCGCCGATAGGGAAGTCCCGTCCGCAAGCACGCGATCCACGACTACCAGGACAATTTATCGCGCGCGCGGCACCCGGCCGAGTGGGCAAGTCACGGCGACAAGGTCCACGCCTGTCTCCACTGTCCCCACCGCTGCCCACACAACTGATGCCCACCCGTCCGACCTCCAGCTCGCCTACCTCTCCTCGTACAAGTCGACCTTCCTCGGACAACCACTCGGCACCGGGTACCACAAGATCCCGCCGATCCCACGCACCGTTCTTGGCCACTTCTCCGCGCAACACGAGGAATACGTTGCCGCGCACCGCGCCGCTCTACAAGCCGCGTACGAGCCGTATCCACCCTCGCTGCAACGTGCGCTGCGCAAAGTCCCGCTGCCCACAGATCCGGTCCCGCCGCGCCGCGCCGACGGAGCCCCACCACCCAACCCGCACCCGAATTTGGGCGGGCACGACGAGCACGGCCGGTTCAATATCTTGAATGGCAGCGCCGTGCCCGAGTACGCGGTGCCAAAACATCCGGGCACGTTTTTCGCGGGCCGGGTCACGTCGAAGACGATCGAGGCAAAGATTCATGGGCGGAAAAAGGGCGAGAATTTCTTGGCGCATCCGGAGTGAGGGTGGAAAATGGAGTATGGGTGGGTGAGGCAGCGGTAGACGTGGATGCGGTCCGGATGGAGCAGAGGAACGTTGAGATGGACTGGGGTGAGAAAGATCTGTCGGGTAGCAAGAGATGGTGGCGACTTGCGTGCGGAGTTTGTGTAGATCACTCACAAGGCCAAGCGCATTCGACCTTGAAAAGGTGTTTTTGCTCGCTTTCACTGACGGCACGGGCAAGCGGCTATCAGTGAAGACCAGCAGCAACACGGGCCGGGCAACGCCAGGTACATGAGGGTACTTTGGCTCGAGCGCCCGCGCGGCTGCAGCTGCAAATCAAGAAACAGGCCTAACAGCAAAAAAAAAAAAAGAAAAACGTCAACACAACTCCAACCAAACTCCAACTACGCTCTCAGCGCGTCCTCTGACCGCGCTTGCCAGGTGGAGTCCCCTCAGCGCCACGAGCACGTCATCTCCTTCACTCCAACGCGTTTGATCCGCATGATCCCGACGCTCAAAATGGGTGGAGAAGGTGCGCGACTGTTCGTCGCCTTCACTCCTCATCCGACGATTTGACTGGAGCGAGTGTGCGGCTGCCCGCGTGCGCCATTGACGCCTGCCGCCGCGTGTGGTCGCTGAACTCAAATCAGCGCGGCCGCTTCTCGCCACGCGCTTTGATCACTGGTTGATCGCGCGTCGCCCGGTCGCGTCGGCGTGTCGAGTTTGCCCTGACTCCCTCTTGATCAATGGCGTCACCTTCGCCAGATTGGGGTCGTGGGCCGCGCTCGCCTTAAGAGGAAAAGTACATGAGTATGGGGTCGCTGCTAGCGCCATGGTAGGCGGCAACGGGAACCGCGTGCATGGAGCAAGTATGTCACGGTCATGTCTTTTAGAGCCTTTCGAATGCACGAATGAGCAGAAAATAGCTGCTTCATTTTGGTCGACAGGGTCAGGTTCGACCTCGAGCCGTGCGGCTTGGTTTTAGGTACGAAATAGGAGGAAAAGCACACGAAAAGTATGGACCAGAGCACGAACCAGGCGTCGCCGCGGAATTTTTCCTCACATCAATCAATGTCTATCGACGTTTTTCATGTCTTTTGCACTAGCTATGTCCTGTCGGAGGTCAAGACGAGTCCAAAGCGGTCGGGTTTGTTCTTCGGCGGTGCTTGCGCGCGCGACATGTCACGAAAAACATTCACCAGAGCGCTAACCAAGCGTCGCCCGGGGGTCGTACTTGGCATTAATCGATAGCCCTCAATCTTTTGCATACATTCGTATTAGTCAAACTCAGTCCGCCCGCATGGCGATCCCGGGGCGGTCGGGTTTATGCGTCGAAGGAGCTCACGCGCTCGAGATCCCACGAACGCTCAAAGCGCTGGTTCCTTTTTAGATACAAAACTTTTTTAGAGTGACATCAGAAGCGGGCGCGTGGTGAAGCGGCTAACACGTCTCCCTCCGAAGGAGAAGATCCTGGGTTCAAATCCCAGCGTGCTCGTTCTTTTTGCATTTGGTAATATTTTGGTCAGCCTGGGGCGAAAATCATCGAGTGGACGACTGTTGTGGACTTAATGTCTTGGCATGCGATGCTCACTTTGCCTTGCAACCAACACAACACAATCTGTCCACCCCACCAACCGCCCACATTATGATACAGCTTAGGGGCTGTTGATCTGACCTTTGATTCCTCGTCTAGAGCTATCAAACCCCAAACCTGGGTTTGGCGCCACATAAATCACACTTTTTATCCATTGTGACAGACTGCTTCAATCCATTTGTGCTTGCCTGCTGGCAGCAGTCAATTTGCACATGACAGCACCAGAGTGGCAAATGATGCCTTGACGTTTTCCATCCAATGCCCAATTGATATCTGAGGCACGAAACGCGTCGTCACTTTCGCAGAGTAAGCTGCAGTGAGCCAAGGAATGATACAAGGGGGATCAGGGTGATTAACATGGAATGGTGCAGCCACGCTTGCAGAGATTGGACGCCCTGGTCACAACTCGTGTTTTGAGAAGAAGTCGCAGCGTCAAGATGACTTTGTGGGGTGCACTCTTCAGGCGTGTGGAATCGGACATGACGCACGATTGGAAAGAATCGGCCAACAAGCGTTTGAAACGGATCTCCCTGCTATTTTCTTGGCGCTGGTGGATGGCGAAAACTGAATCGAAAACGTGCATGGGGTTGATGGGGACAAAAGAGATGCACTTGCGTTTTCCACGTCGCCGATTTGCCAAGTGACCTTTTGCTGCGGCTGTTGGCCTCTGTGCCAACGGCCGTGCTCTACACGTTCCTGTCTGCTCCCAAGTTGCTGCACACTCGCGCTCATGCGCACCAACACGGCGACCATTACCACCAGCATAGCAGCCACGATGCCAAGACCCGATGTGCATGGAAATGCGACGCTTCCCATGGTTCGACTTGCTACAATGACGCGCATCAAACTAATCAATGAATGGTTCGTTGCAACACGTGTATAGCTGGTGGCCGCATACTCAGGGTCAAGGAGTATTGTGCTTGTTCTCGACACTCGATTTGTTCAATTGCGTCGCGCCATTTGTCCTGATATTTGTGGTACGTTCTGCTTATTGGGCATCGCGTTGATCTCTGCTTGTTGCAATACGAAACCTGACAGCACGCTGCCAACCGCTCTTCTCAATGACAGATTTCTATATTTCGATTCCGAGTCTTGACCGCGGCCAAGCGTACGGACCAAGGCCCATACACGCCAGTCCGGCTTCAGCACTGCTCATGAGGAAAGTGAGCAGGACGTGGCAATGCAAGGCCAAGTTGCCTATGATTTGCATTTGCACGCTGAACCTGGACGCGCGTGTCGGCGTGTGCTGGACAGTTTTGGCAAGGCCGCGCTCGTGTTTCGGACTTTTTTGAATCAGCATCACTTGGCTCCCGCCTGTCAAGACGACGTGTTGGCCCATGGTGAGCGGCTGGCATCAGGGCCCATGCAAGAGGGTTCGGGTTGGGGGCACCTTATGTTCTGCGGCTGATGGGTTTCGGCCCTGAAGTTGCGGATGTGAATGAATGTGGACAAATACAAGGCACAATCATCATGGTCAGAAACAGTTGCTCAGTGAGAAAAAAAAATGGCGCATTGACCGTGAGGCGAAGACGTGCCATGCGGTCATGTCGGGTTGAGACGGGATCGGGTCCTTGAAGTCTGGCGAGCAAGAGATAGGTGGATAACGACGAGGGCGGAGGCTCGAGCGGGGACGAGGGCAGGGACGAGGGCGGGGACGGGGGCGGGGCCGGACCGACGACCGATCCGAGCTGCGCCGTGTTGGTGAGGTGCGTGACCCGTTGGCGGGCGCCCGTCGATGGTGCTGGCTGTGGCATGTTTAGAACGGTTGGTGGGCTGGGTGTGCGGTGAGTGGTCTTTGCCGACGAACCTGCGGTCTGCGGTGCCCCGTCCTTGTGTTGCGCGCGAGGCGCTTCGGTGACGCGCGATTGGCGAGCACGCAACCGCGCGTGGCTCGTTGCACGACACGCCCTCGTTCTTCCTGCCGCCGCTGCCGCCGCCAGTGCCCGCGCTGCTCCAACCCCCGTCGCGCCCGACAGGGTGAGGAGGCCATGCTCGCCACCCGGGCGGCGATGAGTCGGCGTTGGGATCGTGCCGCTCCGGTGCGATCAGGGACACGCCGCCGGGGTGCCGCCCGATGCGTGCGCGCCATGTGCCGCCGCCGCGTTGTCCCTGAACGGCCCGCGCGACCCCAGCTTGCTCGGCGATTCTCTCTCTCTCGCTGCAATCCTCTTCCTCCCGCTGCACCCTCATAAGCATCCAGGCGGACCCGCACGGCCAAGCTGCAACCCAGACGGCACCGACGACTATCTTGAGCGGTCAGCACGCCCGCCTCAGGCCAGGACGCGCATCCCCAACGAGCCGTGCTGAGTCTCCCCGGTTGCGGTCGCCCAGTTCCAACCTCCTCAGCTCAGCTGCGACGGCCAGCATCATCAACCATGGACGCGCTCCACCCCGCATCAACAGCCGCAGCATCGCGACCTGCCCATGACGACCGCGTACACCGCCGCCGGACCGCCCTCCAACTTCTCAGCGTGGGCCTGGCCCGTGTCGGCAAACACTTCAACGACACGGCACGGCGGCCCGTGGATTCAACGGTTCGCTCGATTCGACTGCACGTCGTCATTTCACTGCGCCACCTCACATGTTGCTGACTGTGCCGCTACCTGCCCACCACGAACGATGAACAGACGCTCAAGCGCGAGCAGACGCTGTTTCTCGGGTACGGCCCGCGCTTCAACCGGTTCCAGATGCTGCCGGCCGCGTTCCTGCTGCAGCTGTTTCTCGGCACCATCTTGTCGTGGTACGTTTTCACGATCAGGCAAAGCAATTCCGGGCCAATGCGACCGCGACTAATAATGCTCCGACCTCGACTAGGTCCGTCTTCAATGCGCCCATCTCGGCAAGATTCGAGTCGACCGAAGAGTCCGTCTCGATGACTTTTTTCCTGTCGCTCTGCTGTCTCGGCGTCTCGGCGTTTGCCGTGGGCCCGGCACTCGAACGGCACGGGCCGCGCACGCCCGCGTTCGTTGGGTGCACGCTCTTTGCCCTCGGCAACATCATTTCCGGCATTAGCTGTCTCGTCAAGTCAGTGCCGCTGCTCTACGTCGGGTCCGGGATCGTTGGTGGCGTCGGGTCGGGCATGGCGTATCTCAGTTTGATCACGGGTGCCTACCGTTTGCGAACCGTCCATCTGCGCGAGAGCCACGTCAATCTAACCCGCGCCACGCTGGCTCCAATATTTAGCCCTGCAAAAGAACTTCCACGACAAGCTCGGTCTCTCCGCGGGCGTTGCCGTCTCCGGGTTCGGGTGCGGCGCCGTGCTCGGCAGTTTCCTGTTTACGGCGCTCATCAACGCAACGGGCCTGCCCGCGACCTTCTTCATCTTTGCTGCGACCGCATTCGCTGTGCAAATGGTCTGCGCAATTGTGCTGCGGTTCCCGGCGCCGGGCGCCGCGCCCGTGGCACTGCGCATCACGCCCATGAACGCCGCTGCCGCTGACGAGGATGCCAAGATGCAGCTGGCCGCGGACACGGTGAACCTCGACGACGAGAGCGAGCCGTGCTCGCCGGTGCGCTCGTCGCGCGACGACGACGACGACCTCGTGCACAGAGCGCCCATAGTCGGCAGCCCAAAGTCGCACCATAGCGTGATCGCCGCGCCGATCGTCCATGCTGTTCCCGACCATCACCACGAACTCGTCAAGCTCGCGGCCGCCGTCGACGGCGCTTCCATGCTGAAATCGCCAGCACCCGCGCGGTCCGTCTACGTCGAGTATGCCGCGACCGTGCGGTACCTGCTCCTCTACTACCTGTTCTTCTCGAATCTGATGGGCGGGTTGGTGTTGATTCCGAAAACCGCTGATCTGTTGCGGTCGGTCATGCACGTCGCGTCGCCGACGTTCCCGCCGACCGTGATTGCGATCAACGGGCTGACACATATTGTTGGGAGCTTGGCGTTTGGCCGAATTTCGGACCGCGTCGGACGACTGCCGCTGTTTGCGGTCGCGGAGCTGTGCCAGATGCTCGCGCTTGGCCTGATGATGCGCTCATTTCATTCCGGGAGCGTGCCCATGTTCTGTGCGGGGATTTGGATCTTGCAGGGGTGCGTACGTCCGTTCGATTCGGGGGGTGACCGCGGCGAGGGGGGGGGGGGGGGGTTCACGATTTGGTGACTGATATTCGGTTGGATAATTTTGACAGAGCGTACGGCGCGGGCCTCACCATGATCCCGGGCTGCGTCACCGACATGTTCGGGTCTCGCAACATTGGCCCGCTTTACGGCCTGGTACGCTCCTTCCTTCCCGCACTCTCCTCCCCCGCTCACTCCTCCACCTTCTCCACCCACCCACTAAACCCGCCGCATAGGTCCTGACCGCCTGGTCCTGCGCGTGCCTCGTCGCCGGGTTCGTCTCCAACGCCGTCGTCAAGGCGCGTAAGGCCCACGCCGTCCCGATCCCGGACATCTGGGACCCGAACTTCTACTGGATGCAGGCGAATGCCGGCGCCGGGTGCCTCGTCGCGCTCGCGCTGTGCTGGATGCAGTGGGCGCGGAAGAGGCGCGAGGCCGAGCATGCGCGCGACGACGTGGCCATGGTCTGACCAGGCGGCAATGGTCGGACGACCAGGAGAGGTAACAGGTGCTGGTTAGTGTTGAATTATAAATATCCTCGTTATTCGTATCTACATGATCAAGCAGTTGTCGTCCTTGGTCATTTTCTTGACCTTGTCGATGGCGCTCGTCGCGACTGCCCGTGGTGTGGGGGTCGGTTTAGATGTGCTGCTGCTTGGCGGTACAGCAGCGGCGGAGCTGAGCTGTGTGCGCGTCAGGTGATCGCGCAACTGCGCGAGCGGGCGCTGGTCGTCGTCAGGCAACGGCGCGCGACGCGGTGCTGGTGGGGTCGGTGGGTGGGCAGAAGCAGAAGCAGCCACGGTGGCGGCGGCAGCGCTGGCGGCGCGTGCTT